GGGATCATGACCTGAGCCGAAGGCAGACACTCAATGGACAGAGCCACCCAGGCGCCCTCCTGCATGGGTTGCTTCTGTCTGTCCTTCCTACCTGGCTCCTCCAGAGCATCCCACCTCTCTGGGGGCACCTCTCCTCCCTGCGGTTCTACTCCATCATCCTCTCAACAGCAGCCTCTCCCTTTCCAAATTTGTCCTACTTCCTTATCCCTGCACTCCTGGGAAGCTTCTGCCTTGGCCTCATCACAACTCTGGACGTGTCCTTTTGATTTCCATCCCCATGGCTCTGTCCCTCTGTTTTCCAATGCCAAGTGAAGAATCTCATTGATCCCGTGTGGCTTTCTGAGCCAGAATCATGGCTGCCAACCACCAATGAGCTGGACTGCCCTGGGTCAGAGGACAGCCCTCTGAACCAATCAGCCAAGGGTGGAGGGGGCATGTGGTGGCATCTCCCACTCAAGTGCCCCAGCAGCTGGGGAGAGTTCCTCAGAAGAGGGGAGGACATAGGAGAGGATTGATAGCACAGCAAGTATCTTCAGGGTTTCAATGAGTTCTAGAATTTGAGGGAGAAGGAGGAGCTCCACAGATGGTCAGCAACAATCCTGTGCCTGCCCACACGTCCCCACTAAATTCCTCAACTCCCCGGGATGGACGGTGTCACCCCCCCTTTCCAAAGAGGTCAGAGGCACAGGAGATTGGGTGGGGAGACAATGGGGCAAGGGATAGGAAAAACAATATATACAACTTGCCCCTGGCTTAAGTTGCTGATGAATGCCACTCTGGGAATATGGGCGTAGAGGCATCCCGTTCCTGCACCCCTGTCTTCTGTGCGCGTTCACCGGACACTGTGGGCACGGGGAGGCTCTGTTACAAGTAACAATTCTCACATCCTGTACCGTGTTGACAAGTTTGACATGTCCTGCATCTGTGTAAAAACTTCACAGAATTTTGCACTTTTGGGGGCCTTTCTCATCCAAGAATACTGAGCAATGATGATACAGAAAACTGAACACTCTAGATTTGGGGTATTCGGAAAAAAGACTAACGTGGACACGCTGCCACTCAGCCTTTTTTAATACCTGGATGATGCACAGTGAGAGGAAGGTTGGGTCATCTGTGGAGTTGTAGAGGGACTTTAAGTCATGCCATAAATCACTTGGGCCAGCACAACTAACTCTTCTGGGATTCTGACTGGCATCAAGAAAATCATTCTTTTAGTGGTGGTATTACTTTATCCAAAAAAAAAAAAAAAAGAGTGACCAAGAAGGTTTCAGAACCAATTTATTATTTTGTTTTTCTAGGGAGACTGAAAAACTGCCAGAGGCACCTAAAAGGAAGCTGCACTTGGTTCCAAAACAGAAAGGATATAATTGCAAGGTCAAGTCCACACAGACATGCAAACTATTTTCTTTGAGCAGGTGTGGAGGAGACGCAGGAGTGAGGCTTTTTTTTTTTTTTTTTTAGAGCCCATGTCTTCCTAAAACCAGTGCTGTGATTCATTTACTTCACAACTGAGCTGAGAACGAGAACACCCAACATGTCCTTGTGAGCCTGTGTGGCTGAAAGTCAGCTGAAAGATGCTCTGTTAACACAGGGCAGGTTTTGATGCAAAGGAAGCTGAGGTGTGTCAATTTATGGGAACATGTTAAATAACCACCTAGAGTCTTGACTGATTTTATTTCCCTCAGGAGAAGAAAATGCGAAATAATACACACAGGAATCAATCTTATTTACCAGCTGAGGTCTCTCAACCTCGGCACTGCTCATATTTTGTGCCAGGTAATCCTCTGTTGTGGGGCTGTCCTGTCAGCAGCATTCCTGACCTCTACCCACTAGAAGCCGAAGGCAACTCCCTCCGTCGTGGCAAAACCCAAACTGTCTCCAGACATTGCCGAGTGCCCCCTGGGGGTGAAACTGTCCTCCGCTGAGAATCACCGTACTAAACTAAGAGAAAATCCTAGCTGTTTATAGCAAAGACAACTATCTGGAATTAAATCAGCTTCCCTGGAAATAGGCCGATTTAATTGTCCCTCCGGCATCCTTTGCGCTGTAGAAGTAAAGAGAGGGCAGCACGGCTTTTCTTCTTCTGAACGTGGGGTCAGAAAACCAACAGCAGGGATTCTGTGCCCTGTGCATCACTTGCGCTCACTCAGTGCTTGGATTTCTAACCTCCTTAATAAAGGAGACGTAACAACATGAGACCCCAGTACCTGATCATTCTGGAAAGTGATAACTTTTATGTTTCGGAAGAGGCATGTTTTGAAGTCCTGGAGACTATTGTGTCCTGTGTAAACATGGCCTCAATCAAAATGATGGCCCTGGCACACAAAGGCGGACTTCCCGTATAAAAAGGTTTGGAGGTCAGGGCAACAGGTCACACTCCAGTCAGGCTCCTCTCCCACTGTACCTCCCCCAGACAGACTCTGGAAATCATCCGGGAGGCCCCAAGGTCCAACGCTTTTGGGAAACCTGTCTCAGGCTGTGGCCAAGAATGTTGTGTAGTCCCAGATCTCCCAGAACAAAGTGACAAAGTGCCTGCAGTCAGCCCTGGCGGGTGTTTTCATTTCACGGGTAGTTCAGCCCTGACCAGTGGGGGGCTGCTGACCGCAGCTAAAGGCTCCCCAGGAACGCATCTAGAGAGCGCTGCCCTACACTCTCTGTGCAATGCTGTAAAGGGCTGTAAAGGGCTCTCTGTGCAATGCCTGCTCCAGAAAGATATCCGCTCCCATAGGGCCCTAGCTTTCAGAAGCAAGTACAGGACGTGCAAGAAGCTGTAACGTGCCACTCCCAGCAAAGAGCAGAGGGCTTTGCTAGGTAGCCACTTGCGAACGAGCAGGGACAGCCTTTATTAGATAGCCAAATGCTGAACGACCAAATCCCAGCACAGTCTTGTTTACTTCTAAGCAGATCCCATTAAGCCCTGGGCACTTGGCTTGATTACTCCCTGGATCAAAGTTAAATTAAATTACCCAACAAGCTTCATTTCTGAGAGAGCGACGCGCACACAGACTGACTCACCTTCCAGAAGCTATCCACTTTGCCATACACAAGGGACTGGTTCTGCCTTTTGATTTCGTTAATGTGGTGGATGTCGCTGGAGTTGAGGTGCTGCTCGACCACAAATCCCAGAAAGCTGTTGTCTGGGGTATGAGCTGATGCGGAAAGGAAAGGACAGGGTAGTTAGGATTTCACTGGCAAGAAGAAATGATTACGAGTTTGATATAAGCCATCATGCACATAATTAAATGTGTTCATTTCACCCTGTTCTTTCTTACCTGGGGAGGGGGAGGCAGGGGACTGCCTACTCCCACATACTCCCAGCAGAACCTTCACATGAGAATTGTCTCCAGGATGGATTAACCTGAATCAAATGCTGAAGGACAGCCTGCCCTTCCCCCGCCCCCCCACCCAGTAAAATGCATCTGTCCAAAAAGCATTCTGCTGTGTGTTCTCTGCCCTCCTGTTTGCTCAGCACAAGGCCACTGTCTCCTGACAGCCATGCTGCCTTCCAGGTGTGACCAGTAAAACCCAGAGCAGGGCTGAATCAAGGGTTCTCATGGGGGGTGAGGCCGCTGTTGGCAGCCCACATCATCCAGCCCGATGCCAGCCAGGGAAAGGGGAATTTGGGGGCAAAACCAGTGAGCATCACCCCGACGCCGCACCTCCCCTAAGAATTACTCACTAATGAGAGAGATAATTATGGAGCTACACTGAACAGATGGAGGGAATGAAGACAGACGAAAGGTGAAACTCACTGGGATGTGAGCCATCCCAAGAAGCCACCCACCCCAAGGAGCAGTGTCTAGTCTATAGAAAAGACTATTCGAGAAGAGAAAGGCATTTTCCTCCGGATCGCTCATCATGTGAGTTCTAAAACTTCTCTATTTTAATAGTTGGTCAAGGGGTGGGGGGAAGTAACCCCATACCCCCCCTCAAACATTTCTCTCTTGTGCCTATAATTTTAAGAGGAATTTCACAAAGAAGGCAATAATCAGGAAACAATCTTCTGTAGTTGAAACAGAGACCGCCCTCTGCTACACATTCATTCCGTCCGGAGAAATGTGTTTTTCAGATGACCCTGCAAAGGCCCCACAATATTAAATAAAGCGACGGCGCTGCTTGACTCTGCCCTGAATAGAGAAGCTATAAATAGCCTAAATGGAGAGATACTTGATATTCAGAAAAATCCACACATGTGGCTTCAACCGTACTCCTTCACAGGTAGGTGGTAAGCACGCGGAGCAAGGTGGTTCCTTTGTCTTGCTTTGGCTTTCTCAGGACGCAGGAGCTCTTTCCCAGGCAGGAGGCCTGCACGGGGGCCCTTAAAGATGGGCAGGGGTAGGCCTGTGGAAAGGCCTAGGAGCCTGAAGCCCCGGGCCTCGCTCTCCTCCGCCCCGCTCACAGACGAACGAGGGAACACCACCAGTGGAAAGCCGCGAACTGTGGACGTGAACAAGCCACATAAACACTGTGTTATCATCATCCAGTCTCCCGGGCTTCTGCCTAATGCGGGTGACAGAATGAGGAGATAATAGGGTTATGACTGGGGAGCTGTGTTCGGCCTGGCCAATCTGTTATTTCATTTCTGCGTTTCTGAACAAGTGCCCAGAGGCAATGGCTGCAGTTGGCTGGAAAGTAAACTGGAGAATAAATTCTACTGCCAGCAAGGGGCAATGGGTTGCTTTTCCTTTCTTTTTGAGAAGCTGGTGGTGAGGGGCTTTGAAGGAGGATGAGGGAGGGGAAGAGAGCCCCTCTGCATTTGCAATGTCAATGAGGCAGCTTAAAATAGCTCTTTGCAAAACTCTGGGTTAACTGTGAAAATTCTGAAATAGAACCTGACACTTTAAACTTTGAGACCGTGGTTTTTGTTTTTTTTAATTTTTATTATCTTCAGAAAATGTTATGTGGTGACTAAATCTCCATGCTTTAGATACTGGTTTCTGAAATTCAGTTACCTAGTCCCTAGACGAGCACTTCTCTAAAAAGGTGAAATTTGACTCGACCACCTAAAACAACGTCACAGGTGGGGAAAATGCAATATACTAAGGTAGAGTCAAAAGTAAAGTCACCAAAGCCCCCAAAGAAAAGAACTCCTATATGCATGGATTTTTGTGTCAAAGATTCCCGGAGCTCGAGCTTGGACAGTGAAGAGGGAGAGGGAGAACATGATCTAGTCAAACACCTTGTGAGAAGTGGTGGGCCTTCGCTGCTTTAGGACTGTAATTTGGCACTAAATCAATTTTGACACCACACAAACAATCACAAACACCTGCTCTTCTCCTGGGTTTTCACGAAAACCCTTTATTTCCACCCCTCTCTGGTCTGGAGGTGTTAGGTGGGGGATGGGCAACCTGAGAGCGCCGGTAAGGACCGTGGATGACCAGAGGAGAAATCCCACACCGTCACCCTTCACCAGCATGGGTCACACCCTTCGTGTGTCTTCCCAGGGGACGCTGAACCTGTCACGGGACGCGGGACAGGGGTGCCAGGAAGGGTCACTCAGCTGCAAGCTGCCCCACAGGTGATTTGGAAGTGACCACAGGCCCTGGGGTAGCTTCCTTCCAAGGAGCTGGCCAGCAGCTGGGTACCCGCCTGGTGACATCGTCCCCGAGGGCCCTGGACTCAACACATGTGCTCCTAAAATCATTTATAGTAAGTCAAAAGTCACAAAGAGAGGCTGATGCTATCCAAAAGGACCTTTCTGTGGAGATCTAACTGCAGCCCAAGCTGTCTCTTTTTCTCTGAGGACAGGAACAGAGAGTTTATTTGTGTTGGGAGGTTGTCAAAGAGAAGGTATTCACATGTCAAGGTGAACTTTAGAAATTTCACCATAAATGGGACACAGGAAATGCTGCACATTTGGAAATCACTCCATCCCAGGAGATCAACAAATATGATTGTTTTAAAATGGCTAATATTTGAGTTCTATGTGTGGAGTTCTATGCTAAGTGCTTTATAGTGACTATTTGATTTTATCTTCATGACAACCTTTCAACATGTTTGTAGGGATGAGAAAGTTCGGGGCAGGGTTGGTGGCGGGGGGGAGACACTTCAACTACCCTCGTCTACATGCTAGGAAATGGCAACGTTGGGATTAAAAGCCAGACCAGCTGGTCCCAGAGCCCAAGCTCCTTAAAGCATCCTCACATACAGCTTTGTAGTCCAAATAGTTTATCTTCTGGGCTCCGTGAACTATAGCGGTAAACATGCTTCAGAGGAAAATAACATTATAAGGTAGACCAAAATACACATGAAAGACCCAGGGGGAAAAAATGTAGTAAGATCACCTCAGTTTCTTGAGTGACTTATGCTACACATATGGGGGCCAAGCTGATTCATTTTACATGTGACAAGCAGAAGGGGATTTGCTAAACATTGACAGTGGTTTTAAAATATTTTAGGACTTTATTATTATTTTTTTTTTTTTTAAGAAAAGCATTATTTTAAGCACTTTGGAAGCACCTATTTACAAATGATTACAAATCAGCTTGATGAGCTTCCTGAGCAGATTACAGCGATAACTTCTTTTAAGAAATACTGGGAGTTTGGCTTGAATAATTCATTCAACCACAACCATTTTAGAGCACTCCTTCTAAAAAACCAGGTTAAATGCTAGGCACTGAGAGATTACAACATCAAGATGTTTCTGCCCTCACAGAGCTTACCAAATACTTAATAAATGAGGTGTATGCAATTTCTACCAAGCAGTAATAGCATCCTCATTTCAAATGTAATTAACAAATTTCATTCAGTCAAATCGATCCTTCTCTCAGCACCTGAGTCTCTGAGGTCTGCCTTTCCACCACTAAGTCCTAAGCACTTGCACCCAAAAGTGCAAATATTCATTTTAATAGGTGGTCTGCTGGCCTTAACCACAGCTGGCCCTACCATGGTGGGCATCCCCACGCCAGCAGATCACCAAGGGCAGAAACCCTAAAACCAGCCTGGGCTCCTCCCTCAGCCTTCACCCAGCCCTGAGGATGTCAGCTTCCCCAAATCTCTCAACCCTCTCCCTCCTCTACACCTTTCCTAGTTCTGGCCTCATTGATTCTTGTTGAGACTTCTGCAATAGATCAGTTTTCTTTTGCCCTGTTCAAATGATAACTTATTTAGGCTTTCCTGATTATAACAGAAATATATCCTCTGTGTAAAACTTTTTTCAGACAATGGAAAAAGATGTAAGAAAAATAAGAGATCATCTATCACCTCGAAATAACCACTATTACTGGATTTTTAAAAAAGATTTATTCATTTATTTTGGGGGGCAGCATGTGTGAGAGTGGATAGGGGCAGAGGGAGAGGAGAGAGAAAATCCTCAAGCAGACTCCCTGCTGAGCACGGACACCCCCCCCCGATGTGGGGCTCGATCCCAGGACCCCAAGATCATGACCTGAGCCTAAATCAAGAGTCAGATGCTTAACCGACTGAGCCACCCAGGCAACCCATGGACTGTTTTTAATACTCAAATCAATACCGGATCCTACTATACCTACTCTCTTGTAAACTTCTTTCACTTACAAATGTGCCATAGGCAATCGTTGTGGGTTAATACCCACAGCTCATCACTGCTTGTTAAATTAGTAGTATTTCAGCGCATGAACTCTTTCCATCAGCTGGGATGCCCCATGGTTCTGGTCCGCCAGCATTGCTTTATGGAACCACACTTCTCCCAGGCCATGCGATTCTGTTTCATTCAGGTGGTTGGATTGGTGCCAGTCCTGACCCCTTGGCTGCCCCCTCTCTTTCCTCTTCCAAGGATGGGCATATGATACAGAGGACTCTCCCTGACCATGGCTCATTTGAAAAATGGGGGTATGATCCAAGTCCCGCCAATCACAGCTGCTCTAAGACTAGTCAGAGCTACTTTTGGGGTCACGGTGTCTCTGCTACAGTCACCAAGCTGGCAGGGTGGAAGTCGAGGGCTGCGGATGTCATCTGTGTGTCCCTGGGAGAAGGATGCCCATGCAGAGAAAGGCAAAGCCAGGACAGGGAGAAAATAAAGATATCCTGCAAGCCCGAATCCATCTCAACCTAAAGCTTGTTTCAACAACTCCCAGGGACAAGAGCCAATGAACCCTCGTGACCAAGTCCACAAGACAGAAATACTGACGAGTCCACCCTATGAGACATTTAGGATGTTTCCAATTCTTGC